ACTTTGAGCTGGAGCATCTCCCATCCCTCTGCACGCCAGGGCCAGCCGCAGGCACAGGGTCTCTCCGCAGGATCCCTCACAGCCCCCGGCAGCCTGCCAGACAGATGCAGCGAACAGCCCACAGACAAAAGATGTCACGCTTTCCGAGAAGTGATATAAGAGATTTGGATGTGCAATCACACAGAAATTGGATACTGTGCCCTCTAGAAGGCTTTCTGTCTATTTTCTACTATATTTAAGTCGTTCCTTATCCTGCCCCCCCCCACCTTTCCACAGTGATTGACTGGCTGAGCATCCCTGCTTGAAACCTCTTAATTGGTTGTGGGAGAAAGAAACCAGCTGGCTTGCTGAAGCATTTCTCAGTATCCCAAGCTCATCCTCATTTCCTCCCAATTCATCTCTACCTGTTACGTCCTTCGAGGGTAAAGGAAAAAACTGCATTAATTAGCCTGCGGCCAGTACTCTCACCCAGGCCTTCCACCCGCCGCGGCCTCAGTGGCCTCGCAGAGATTTCGCTACAAATGCCTGAGTCAGGTCCGCAAAATAACCAAGGTCTGTAAGCATTCAAGGGCTGAAGCCCTGTGATGGGCGTTTTTCAGAGTCTTGAACCTTGACTATTACCTTCTGGTTTTGGTTTTTGTTTACCAATTTACATTTCCTTATCTTTTTACCTGTGCCTGAATGCCTTAAAGCCCAACCCGTTTCGAAACTCTGAAAGCCCATAGCCAGTGTCACTTACTGGCCTAGATCTTGCATGTTCTGAAGAAGGTTACCTGAATGCCTTAAAGCCCAACCCGTTTCGAAACTCTGAAAGCCCATAGCCAGTGTCACTTACTGGCCTAGATCTTGCATGTTCTGAAGAAGGTGTTATAGAAAATGGCAAGGATGAGGGTCAGGCAGAGTTGAAAAGACTGTATTTGCACATTAGTGTGTATATGTTTGTCTGTCTATCATTGTACTTGTTTGCCAGAATATATAAAGAAATTCCATTCTGAACAGGGTTTGATTTAAACATGATCTGAAGTGCTTTTTTAACAGAGGAGGTACCAACGCTCATTCGTCGCTGAATCTATGCCAAAGTGCTTTTCAGATGAATTACAAATTAATGTAATATCTCTTGTGAGCTTAGAGTATTTTTCTTGTCTTCCGTCCTTCCTCTTTCAAGCAGGGTCTGCTGGTACAGTTACGGACTTCTAACCATCATCCTTGTCACAGTGGAAGGGAGTTGTCAAGGAGAAGCGTTCCTCAAAAGCGTTTAGACTCAAAATTCATCTGATTTCCTTAAGATGCATATTTCAAACTGGAACCTCTCTGATGCAAATACTTCCTCCTAATCAAGAGTGGGTTTCCGCCTGGGGTTTGGAAGCTGCACGGAGTCCAGACGGCCTCCCAGGTCTCCAGAACTGCTGGTGGGTGACGCTCTTGTCACCAGTGGCAGTATGTCCTGCACTGGCTGTAGCTCTGCAGATCGGGGCTGAGGGTCTGACCTGGCTGTGAATCAGGAAAGACTTCTTGGCACTGCAGTTATTCCTCCAGAGTAGGGAAACAGATACTGTCCTTGCAAGGTAGACCTCTACATCTGGCAAGCTGTCCTCACCTAAAGTGTACTTGTGACAAAGACATGGTTTATGTGGGCTAGATCCACCTCTAAGGAAAAAGGGAAGGGAAGGGAGAGAAAGAGAAGAAGGAAGGAAGGAAGGGAGAAAAAGAAAGATAGTTTTATGATGACCTGCTTTTCTCTGTCGCCACCATTACAGTGTTGTTTGCATGCTTACAGTAGCTCCAGAGAGAGCCAAGAGCCGTGAGCTGGCAGGCAGTGCTTTCCTTGGAAAGCAGCAGTTCTACAATGAGAAACAGACAAGAAAAATAAAGACGAGGCAAAAACATACAAGCAGGGAGATCTTGATAGGCCAGCACTGTTGTTTCTTTTTCCTTTTATGTGTATGATTCCCATTTATGATTTTGTGTCTTACCTTAACTCCAGCTCACTCATCCGTAAAACCTGAAGACTTCAAAGAGACATAGTAACATCTAATCATGGGCTTATAATCTACGTTATTTTACGCTGATGCAAAAGGCCAGGGCAATCTGACAAATACAGAGAGCTGCTTAGAACATTTCACAGTAAGCTTTTGTTTTTCAGCTTCAATTTAGGAGAAAAGCTAAATTGCTAAATCTTAAACAGTGTGCTTAACTAACATATCACTAACAGAAATTCAAACACTTAAAATCAAGGAGGAGTAGACAATGACATTGTAAGTACAATGCTTGTCACATAATCAGCAAATCTTTGTCTGGTTAAATAACTACCAGTGCAGATTTCATCACATTTATTTATATAATGCCCAATCCCAAATCTAAGCTTTCTATTTTCCAACACTTTCTTCTCAGGGATGCCCTGAACTGATCTAACTAGTTGTTAATGAATACTTATAATATTGCCAGTTCTAAAACGTCCCTCAGAAGTGACAGAATTCAAAGCCAGTGTGGATCTTGCAATGTTTATGGGAAGCTTTACCTCTCTGGCATAGTCTAGCTCTTAAGAGAAAACGCCCTCTCATTGGTACCTCTCCCACTTGGCTGCGTCGATTCAGTGACAAGGTATTTTGCCGACTCAGGAGATGGTAGAATGATTTTTTTCCTGCCAGTGGGCATATTTCCCGTTAAAACATAGGGGAGTCTCGTCATGGGATAGTCACGTCTCTGCAGTTCGATGAGTTTCCTACACACTTTTTATACTTGAAGTGTCTGAGCTGCAACCAGATTTTGCTGAACATGGTATGTTGATATGTTTTACAGAGGAAAAATTTTAGCATAAGTGGCAGTATACACAGAAAAAAAGCAAGATGTGATTCTTTAGGAGATGAACAAGTAGACATTTCTGCTCGGACCGCCGATCCTGTTCTTACCATCCTATATTCCCCTAAAAGGGGAGTATTTGGAAACAGCTGGGACTCAGCGGCCAGCAGTAACTGTACTAAGAGCTGTGCGTGGTGCCAATGGCGAGGACTTTTGAGGGAGGGTGCGTAGACTCTGTGCTCTTTTCAGACATGGCATTCTTCTAAGAAGCACGCTCTATGTAGCCCATTTAAGAATCACAGTTTTCCGGCACACTCTTAGAAGATCTAGGCACAAGTACAAGGAGGCGGTTTGAAATTACTACATATGTCTTCTTGATATATTTACACTCCAGGGACCACCCACGACATAGAATGTGTTTAAATTGTTCACCAAGCTTTCTTCTGGAGTCAAGACTAAATTACAGATTCTCTTTTCCCAGAACACAAGAAAAATTAGCAGCTTTCTGAATGATTATTATGACAGAGGCATTTTTTAAAAATAGGTCCCGTGTTTTAAGACCTTTCAAGCACTGGGGGAAATCTTTGCACCTCTTCAACACTTTTAGCTGCTGGTTACTTAACCCTAGTCTGTAAAAAATGCGTAGGGGTAAAAACAAACTCATCTTTTTTTGTGAGCCAATTTAAGTAAGTTGAGGAAGGGTTGTGGAAAAGGATGATGAAATCCCCATTAGAGAAGATGCATTATTTTCTATGTTTATATGACAATGAACTCCTTGTGGATACTTCTGTGCACTGAGACAATATATTTTAGTTTTAATTGTTTCAGTCAATGTCAATTTTACGTTGAACATGCAATAGGTAAAAATGGCCTTCGGGCAATATCTGAATTTTATTTCATGCTGCAGTACTGCCTGTGTAAATATCTACTTCTGTTTTGTAAGTTCAAAGCCAAATGGAGCAAAATTTTCCTTTTGTAGAGAATACTGACCTATCAGCATCAAAAATATTATTTTAGCGTATAAAAATTGCCAGTGAGTTTAATAACAATCTTCTCAAAATCCATTACTACTGTAGTAAACATTTCCCCTTAAGGACTAATAATAGGAAGTGAATTAAGAAGTTACTTGGTAACAACTGGCTAAGGAAAAAAACGTAAGGACAATGTCACTTGTACAGTTCCTGGGATAAAATTTATTTTCTTTTTATTTAAACTATTAAATTTTTAGAATAACTCAGAAAAATCAAATATAAAGCGTTCTGGCAAATTATAATTTATTCGATTGCTTACTTTCCAGAATGCTAGAAGATGACCTCAAGTTAAGTAGTGATGAAGAGGAGAATGACCAGGTAAGACCCAGACAACTGATACATAACTTGCAGAACGTTTCATGCTGAGACTGAGCTTCTACAAATATTTTGCTAATGCTTTTTTTTCAAAATATACATAAAGGTTATCAAAATACGTGAAAGTACTGTAAATGGAGTAGCAGATGTTCTTGTTCTGTGCCAGACTGCATGTGCTAACTGCTGTATTTGTGGGGAATGTTCTGCAGTGGTCTTGATTTATGACCTTGATGCAACCCAGAAGGTTTTTGTATCAGTCTCCTTCTGATTTGATTTTGTTTTGTTTTAAAGAGCAGCCAAGGAGGAGAGAAACAGGAATTTTGTATTAAGGATTCAGGCCAAAAACCTTCAAGCGCAAGTGACTAAAGTGGGGCCCTGGGGACTAGCCGGTGGGTCAGTTAACATACCGAAAGCCTCGTTAGTGCCCCTCAACCCCGGCCATCGTCTCTCCTGTGGGCATTTTAAGTCCCTTCTCTGTGGCCGGTACACGCGAAAGCTAAAGGCAGCTAAGGAAAAGCCTTGCTTGGTTGTGCATTTGTTTCAATCCATAACCTAGCAATTGGGGCGCTCACCTGGTTTTTAGAGACCCTGGACTACCTGACCAGGAGCAGATACTTCAGCCCACATCTCCTGTGTCTCAGGAGAGTTGAGTTTTTTTGCCAGGTTGATCTCTCCTGGCTTTTTCTTAAAGCATCGCTCTGCTTTGTCTAGAAAATTAGGTGTTCACTAGACTAGGACTGGCTGGATCTTGACTTTCCGATGGCCAGCCGAGAAAGTCTAATTGCCAAGCTGTGCTCTCGCATGTTCTCCTCTTGCTCTTGCAATATGCTGGCACAGATGCAGTAGGTGCTGAGCGGGCAGAAGCCCCTTCCCTTCCTTCTTGCACAAGAATGCATGTCCTATGCGTTCTCCAGAGCACGTGATGGAAATCCTGTCCCTGGTTGCACAGCCCCCGCCTTTGCAGATCACAGAGGGATCCAGTGCTGGATATAACATGGTTTTCAAATGTGATTTTTTTCAATCAAGGGTAACTGTAGCTATCTACAGTTCCAAAATTCAGGATCTGAGACAAATAATTCTAGGTATCTGGACCTGAAACTCTTTCAGTTTTTTTTTAAATTCTCTTTACTAAAAGTCTGTATTTTGCACTGTACTCCACACAACAGGTAAGTCAAGACCTTTTAATATTCACAGTAAACGACAAAAACTGCTATTTCTTCTATTTTGAGCAAAGCTTCATGGTGTTAAGAAGATTCAGCGCATGGATTCAATAATTTACATATTTATGCAATTTCTTTCTGTTTAATGTATTTCATCCCGAAGCACATTTAATTACTCCTCCTGCTTGTCTATATAGTTTAAAATACAGAACATAGACAGCATAGGGCAAAGTAAAGTGAGGGGCAAAAGGGACCACTGAGGAATAACAATAGCACGCAAAGGTACTGTGGTGTTTGGAGAGTGGGTCTGAGCGTTAGGGGAGGGGAGAGCCAGCAGTTAGCGTGGGAAGGGAGATGGGAGAAGGGATAGTGGAAAAGTACAGCCATTCGGGCGTACGCACATGTTATCTTAGGTTTAGTGCTGTTACTTACAACTATTAATATCTTTCCTGTGCTTGGATCGCTAGTACTATGTATGCTATGCAAGGTCTTCATTCAGTAATTGGAGCTTTTAGGTACACCTTATTTAGCCTGAGTCTTTCGCCTCTATGCTCGAACAAGCTCTCCAGAGGCCAAAATAGATTTTTCCACCAGAGTGGCAACCAGAGCAGAGCTGAGCTCCCATTTCTCAGTTCTAATCATTGCAAGCAGCAGGGTGAACAATCTTTAACAATTACTTTTGACTTGATCCCCTATCTGTAAAATGGGACCAATCACATTTTTTTCTTATTTGAGTGTACAGATAAAAAATTCCTTGAGGCATGGGCCGCCCCCTGCTATTTAAAACGCTTTGCAGAATCTCAGCTGGGGCCTGTAGGTTTGCTGAACAAACATGAAAATGTTAAATAAATGTGCCTGTTAGATAAACAAAATAGTAAGTTTTCTCTACCTAGCAGGAAATAGGCCCCAAAAAGAATAACATTGACCCCTTCTTCTAACTGAATTAATAGATTGCCACATGGATCTGTATCTAAATGTCAACGGATGAACCCACTTTCTCTTTACTTCTTAATTCTGAAACTCTTTAATCTCAGATCTGTTTCTAGGCTCGGGAACAGGGAAGAAGGAAATTAAAGTTGAGGGTATAGGAACAGTACATGAATGATTCGCAGATATTCTTTACATAGTTGATTAACCTCTGAGTAGTCATACTCATTTAAGTAGTCCAATTGTTTAAATAGCTGAAGGTGAACTGTACAAGAACTAGAAAGCTTATCTTTTTCTTGATTTCTAAAGGACAAGGTTTTGAGGAAAGACTTTGAAAGCTTAGAAGGTGATTTTGTATTCGACTTTGAAATCGCCAAGAGGCAAATGGAAGGTTTCTGAAGTCGTGCGAAGGAGGACAGGTGCTACTGTGTCCCTAAGGGTGATATTTGGAGGACTGTGACTGACACAGAGAGTGTGAGCTGTGGATGACGGAGGCCAAGTGCAAGACGGACACATGATTAGGAGCTGCAGGACCGCAGCGGGCAGGCCATTCTCAAATGCTCCCTCCGTGCCAGCAATTAAGGTAGTGAGATTCACAAACCCAGGAGAGGCAAAAGAGGCTGGGTTTGAGCTGAGTGTGTGTGTGCCCACAGTAATTACATTATCCACACATATTAGTCTCTTAATTTTAATTACATAAATGTATTTTTCCTCTTTAATGAGCATAGTTTATCCATTTAAACTGATCGTTTTAATTTTACAGGCAGTGATCATAGGATCTAATATGCAGAGGGAAAATTTCCTGTTGGCATATTTTACATCACACAGATTGAAGAAAATATACTTTTTAATCCCCAATCAATATCTAAAGAGCGTGCAATTAACAGATAGCAAGGCAGTTAACATAAATCTGCAAGTTAAAGTGCCAATTCATTTTGATTTATAACAGATTGAGTAATAATTTTGTCATCATCTCTCCCAGAAAGCATCTGAAGCTTTGTAGCATGAAGATGTCAAAGTTGTACTTAAGATTGTTCAGAGTACTGAATTGTAGTGGTTATTGCCTTTTGGTTCCTTGAAGTGTGGCATAGCACATGAAACAGTCCCCATTATAATACCCTGCTCTTCACTGTAGAGGTCACTGGATAACTTAAATCAGTCTTGGGTGAAATATTAAAAGGAGGTTGTCGATTGTAATATGAACAATTCTCTTTTTTCCCCCCTACTTGTTCTTTTACAATATGAAAATTCTATAATAGAAAGCAGTTCGTTTAAGGGGGAAAGGATCCCTGGAACCATTTGTGCAGTTCACGTCAATCAATAGCCAAATAAATTAACTGACTGGTACACATACGTGGAATAATAATCTACCATATTTTTGCAACCCAAGTCTGCTTCCTTGTATGCATTTTTCTGCGCCGGATCAGGTTGGTTGCTGCTGAAGTTTTGTGGCTGTGAAAATTTATTACCCACAGAGTCAATCTGCATTCTGGCTGCCAAGTCTGAATAAATAGAGTCATTGTGCTTGTCTGGAATATGTAACCAAAGTTCATCCAGTCAGCTTGACTTTCACATCCCAGGAGATTCATAAAAGCCAACACCCTGGTATGTGCTCTTGATTCCTGCCAAAATTTTGTAAAATTGTATAAACAGAAGTTGAAGAAGCAATCAGAACACACTCAGAGGGACAAGGCTCCAAACTCAAGCCCCTGCTCTATCTCAAAAAGAAAGACTTAGTTTTACTACTTTTTTTTTTTTTTTAAATAATCAGATGACTATCCCGCTGCCGCAGCAGGTAAATACACAGGCTAAAAACACCATCCACACACAGTGCACAGAGAGGCAGTGAATGACCTTCTCAGCTTTGTTAATTTTGCCCATGCGCCCTCCACCAAAGGAAGAGTTAAGACAGTTTTTTAATGGAAGTTGCTGCCCTCCTTAAGAAACAATGGGGCCAGGCAGGCTCTGCAGGATCTCCTGCAGCGTCAATGTAAATGGCCCTCGCCAAAGGCGAGCCAAAGCAAACAGAGGGCTCCATCCCCATCCAGGAGACCTCAGGGGAAGAGCAGGCTCAGGAAAGTTCATGAGGAACAGCTTCAGTTTGGGAAAATAAGAGTCTCCGGAGCCTGGTCTGACTTCTCACCCAGCGCCCCAGGGAGAGAGAGGAAAAGTGACTGTGCCGGGCAGGCACAGGGGTTGCACGCTCCCCGCTGCAGCCCGGGCACGGCCAGGGTGGGCTGCAGCCTGGGGCTTTGCAGCAGGACACAAGTCCCACTATGGGGTCAGCAGCAGTGTCACCATGTCCCTACATAACCAGCACTGGGAAATGATTTTTTTTTTGAAGTCCTGAACGTGTGCTTCGCTTTTTTGACGATAGCCAGAAATGAGTGAGAAAGAATGTATTTAAGGACAAGCTTTTTAAAAACATGCAGGACTTCTGCCTCTCATTTCTGGATACGGACTGCCAATCAGTGCAAAAGTAAAAATTAGCCTGAAATGAACAGCCATGTCTATATCTTCTTCCAGAAGGAGGATAATTTTAGCAGAACCTATATAAGCACTACTTCTGCATATGAAATGTCATATTCCAGCTAATTTGAAGCAATCTGCAATGAACTTTAAAACATATTGAAAAGGGGCAAAGTGGCTACAAGCTTTTTTTCCATCAGATCTCATCTGTTATGATGGCACTTTCTGAAGTCAAAGATCAGCCACTCACAGAGCACAGTCAGGTACATCTAGAGAGAACAGTTATATTAGGTAAATTATAACACACCATTGCATAGCCATGTCCATCATTAAAACTATTTTTAGTCAGTGCTAATTGTGTTCACATATGTCATGTCCAAATATTTTAACCACATCAAGTCATTTTAGTGTTGCGCTCCCTTTTATTCACCTCTTCATCAGTGCAAT